TTTTTTTTTTTAACATTTTATTTATTTTTGAGAGACAGAGAGAGACAGGGCATGAGCAGGGGAGGGGCAGAGAGAGAGAGAGACACAGAATCCGAAGCAGGCTGCAGGCTCTGGGCAAGCTATCAGCATAGAGCCTGATGCAGGGCTTGAACCCACAAACTGTGAGATCATGACCTGAGCCGAAGTCGGACGCTCAACCGACTGAGCTACCCAGGTGCCTCTCTTTTAAGTGATTCTTAACTCCCTCTGCTTTGCACATCCTAGGGATGCTTTTGTCAAATGAACAGCACTGGGAACACAGATCTGTATTTTTAAGTGGATCCCTCTAACGTTTCCCTTAGCTATGCCACTGGCAAATCCAAAATATGAATAATGTCAGAAACTCAGCTAAATAATTTTCTGCACCATGATGAAAGCCCAGGGAACTTTGCATTGGCAACTCCATTCTTTGAACATCTCCCGTATTTTTCATTAAAATATTATTCAACTGGAGAACAATGCGCAGCATAACGGGATGGGAAGGTCACGCCAGGTATCAGATGACTTCTCACTGGTCCCCCGCCAGCCAAGTACTGATGGGTAAAAATGAGCCATGCTTAGATCTGTCACCACTTCACCCAAAGATAAAGTGTTCAGGTTTTAACATCATCATGCATTAACCACCAGTGTATTCCAAATTATTATTTTAGAAATCAAAGCTGGGCAGTCATTTGTTTCTATACTTCAAAAAATTTTTTAAATGTTTTGAGAGAGAGACAGACAGAGCACGAGCAAGGGAGAGGCAGAGAAAGAGACACAGAATCCGAAGCAGGCTCCAGGCTCTAAGCTGTCAGCACAGAGCCCGACGTGGGGCTCGAACTCATGAACCGCGAGATCATGACCTGAGCAGAAGTTGGATGCTTAGCCCACTGAGCCACCCAGGCGCCCCTCTCTCTGTTTTTAAAGGTTAGCATGGATTAAGTCCTTTCCTCCAAGTGTGGCAAGGGGATAAAGAGTCCCCTCACACCCCTGTGCCTTCCTTCTGTGCTGTTCACACACATCACACCCATGGCCTTCTGGGGAGACCTGCAAGGCACAAGGCTTACAAGGTCGTACCAGGCGGGAGGTGGAGGCAACAGAATGGCAATGAAGGGGACGTTGAGAACACAGCTCTCTAAGGGCTGCATGGGCTGACGCGGGAGCCACGCTCTAGGATGTATACGGCTACCATGGCTGCTGCCGGAAGTTCTGGAAGAATCACGCCAAGGCTGACCCATGGCTTCCCCTGCCTCAGCCCAAACACTCCAGTGGGGCCAGTTTATGATGGCCACAACCAGTCCTGCAGACTCACTCTCCGGGTCTCACCATACAAGCGCTTCTACCAAAGGACAGAACCGGGGCCACAAGAGGCACGTTTCTCAAAGCTTCCTCGGCACTCCTGCTCTCACCAACTCTGAGGACGTGAGAACTTGATGGCACGGGGCAGGGAGAGGAGTAGAAAGGTCACCCTGCTCTACTCAAGCGTGTCAGTGTGAAAAGCGGGCCCGGCTGGGCAAGAGGGGCATGAACTTGCAGTCCCGGGCCCCTGGCTACCTGCTGTCCACTCCGTGCTTCTCTCTGACAGGGCACAGAACGAGCATGCAAAAGTTTCAAAGTTCCAGGGCCAAGTGTCAAAAAAAAAGAAAAGAAAAAAGCCTCCATGCTCCAACAGTCATTTCCAGGGCCCATGAGTAACAGATCTGCCTGCCCGTGTGGTTAACGCTTACCAAGCACTTTCAGTCTGGCCAGGAACATCAGCGAGATCCCGACAGGGAGACCAACCACATAATACCCGACGGCATTGACCATGGCCCCAGCCTTCTGGTTGCCACTTCCCCGCAGGATGCCACCACTTGTGCACTGTAGGCAGAAAACATCCATCAGTGAGAACACTGCTGAGGCTTCTGAAAGACTCCTGTCCCCAAGCACCTCCCAACCCCGGGGCAGGGGTGGGGCTCGGACTTAAAATCCGTGATCACGTGCCCGCGTTCTTATCAAGCGAGTATGATAAAAACGTTCGGTATTACCTACCTGCCCCATCCCAGTTGCTCTTTCCTTCTCTTTTTGCCTTTTTAATTTTTTGTGTTTAACGTTTATTCGTTTTTGAGAGACAGGGAGAGGGCAGGGGAGGGGCAGAGAGAGAGGGAGACACAGAATGCAAAGCAGACTCCAGGCTCTGAACTGTCAGCACAGAGCCCGACATGGGACTCGAACCCACGAGTGGTGAGATCATGACCTGAGCCGAAGTCAGACGCTTGACCCACTGAGCCGCCCAGGCACCCCCAACTGCTCTTTTCGGTTTAAATGTACCACCATCAGAAGAAACGTGTAGATCATAAAGGGGCTTGAAAGGAATACTGCGTAACACTTACAGCAAGACCTTCGAACACATGGGAAACAGCACAGATCGGAATCACCTCAGCGACCAGAGCCACGATTTCTCTGTTAGGAAAAGAAAGCACGTCGTGATCAGGAGGAGACAGATGTGTGGCTCAGGTGATGGCATTTGGCCTCTTGTGTAAAACCGGAGGGGCTCATGCGTTCCAGCCAACACCCGATTTGCGGACAATCCTACGGTTTTTCTTGGCCCATAGAGGAAACCAACCCTACATTGCATCGAATGACTTCCAGAAGGAATATATAGTCCAACTGGTTGATGGAAACAATTGCATGAGATGATGTGGTGCTCCACTGCCCACAAAAAAATAAAATTTGGATTATAATGCCACCCTCTTTTCATGTTTATTTTTGAGAGAGAGTGTGCAAGCACATGTGAGCAGTTGAGGGGCAGGGAGAGAGGATCCAAAGCGGGCCCTGCACTGACAGCGTCTCGAGAGCTTGATGTGGGGCTCGAACCCACGAACCGTGAGATCATGAGCCGAAGTCAGATGCTTAACCGACTGAGCCACCCAGGCGCCCCAATGCCATCCTTCTTTGAACATGATTCCACATGTATCTCAGTGTGTCTGGATGGAGTAGAACAGAGTGGTTACAGTTCTCTCTGTGGAACCCAGGTTGGCATGTTACAAAGGCCATAGAGACAGTTTACAGAATTATCCTTGGTTCCTAGAGGTAGTCCCTAACCTCTACAGCTAGAGACTTTGATTTTAACACCTACACTTTTAGAAAATGCTGCCACTGACCCAGGAAGGCAAAAAATTCCATCATACTCTTGAGTGATGAACAAACAGGCCTAGATCATTGTCTGGCAATAAATATTTGTTGAATGAATTAAAAAATCAGGAAACCCAGCACTGAACAAGGTGGTCACTCTCCTCCCCCTCTAAAAACAGGACAGAAATACAGTTCACTATTCAAATTGGATTTCATTTCTTGAATAGGTAACATCTGCCAATGGTTAAAAGAAATCAAGCCATGCAAAAAGAATATCGAGAAAAATCTTACTTCCACTCTGTTCCCAGCCCACCCATTGCCACCTCCCTGCTGACTGGCCAACAATCTTGAATACTGTCTGTACTTTTCCAGTACAAATACAGTCTTCTGTTCCCCTTCTAGAAACTGTTAGTCCATGTTCTAGCATTCTCTACGTGACCTTCTACAACTTGGCTTTTCCAACATACTCACTTTTATATCCCATCAAAATATATTATCTTTTATGTGCTGCTGAATTCTGTCCACTAATATTTTAGTTTTGATTTTAGAACTGATATTAATAAGTGAGATTGGCCTGCAACTTTCTTTTTTACTGTACAAACTTTGTCAGATTTCGGTACCAATGTTATTTTTGCTTCCAAAACAGAATGCGGACATTTCCCTTTTTGTGGTCTCTGGTACAGTTCGACAGCACTGGAATGACATTTTCGAGGTTTTATAAAATTCTCCACGGGAATCCTCAGGGATTAGTGCTTTTTCAAATTTTAAAATCAATTTTTCTTATTTCTTCAAAGGAAATCGGTCCAGTTAGACCTTTTATGTTTTCCAAGGTAAGTTTTGGTAAATTATTTTCCTAGAAAGTTATTTATCCCTTTCAGATTAAAAAAAAATTTTTTTTTAATGTTTATTCATTTTCTGAGAGAAAGAGACAGAGTGCAAGTGAAGGAGGGGCAGGGAGAGAGGGAGACACAGAATCGGAAGCAGGCTCCAGGCCCCGAGCTGTCAGCACTGAGCCCAATACAGGGCTCGAACTCATGAACCGTGAGATCATGACCTAAGCTGACGTCAGATACTGAACTGACGCCACTCAGACGCCCCCATATTCCTTCCAGGTTTTTTTTTTTTTTTTTTTTAATTTTTTTTTTTCAACGTTTATTTATTTTTGGGACAGAGAGAGACAGAGCATGAACGGGGGAGGGGCAGAGAGAGAGGGAGACACAGAATCGGAAACAGGCTCCAGGCTCCGAGCCATCAGCCCAGAGCCCGACGCGGGGCTCGAACTCCCGGACCGCGAGATCGTGACCTGAGCTGAAGTCGGACGCTCAACCGACTGCGCCACCCAGGCGCCCCCAGGTTTTTTAAATTTACTTTCAAAAGTCATGCAAACTCGTCTCTCACGGTTCAAAAAAATTACTGTTTTCTAGTAACTTCCTCCTTTATTACTTTGCGTCAAGGGGCTCTCTCTCTTCTCCCTCTCTGCTAACGTTAGGTTCCAAGTCCTTGTTAGAATCTGTCTCACCAATCCTGCCAGTTTCAGCTGATCCTGGTCAGCTCGTGAATAATTTGACGTCGGGAGTTTTCTCGGTCTCCCGATACCACCAAAGATATGGTTCCTGGGCCCTTTTGTTCGTGTTTTCTTCCTGCCCCGCGTGGTTTCTGGAAGTGGACAGACTCGAAAGCAAACGTCTGCCACGTGCCTACTGAAACCATCAGCGCAGGACACACATCCGATAACGACCGTTCTGATCCCCTTGCAGGAAATCGAGCATGATTCCCGGCTGCCCTTCTGCTTCCCTGGAAGCGAGGGACACTTAAACATCCTATTTCCCACAGCAACACGGCGGAGGCTTCAAGGGGACAACCCGACATCAGAAGTCAAAAGGCAACCCCGAAAAGATACCCAAGGAACGAACGGCGGAGGGCAGTCCTGTCTACCACCTGCTTGTTAAACCCGTGAAGGAAAAGTCAACGCTGCCTTTTGTAACTGCCGATAGAAGAAACCCAAGTCAGAAGTATCCTTGCGACATGCCCACACCAGCCAGCCTCACTGATGAAAGCAACCAACCCAAACAGGACCCGTAAACCACACAGGAGATCCATCCCTTACACGAATTCGTCTCAGTGATCGAGCTGATCATGTGATTTTTTTGAGACAGCTCTTCAGGGAGATTTTAACTTCGGTTCGAACTGACCAATATATTCCACGACTTGTATCTACCAGGAACTTGGGGGCCAGATTCTGAGCTACCAAGAGGATTCTTATCACTGGGAGCAAAATAACTGAAAATGTAACCAATGGTACCAAAAAGGGGTCTCCTTCTCTAAAATACACACCTATCCTGACCACCTGCAGCATGTATCACCAATAAATTGCCCAATAAATTGGCATTCTGGATGATAAATTAGTTCCTACATCTGATCAGTTCTTCCCAGGAAACATCAATGAGGTTTTTTTTTCCCTTTTTTTATGTTTATTTTTTTTTTAATTTTTTTTTTAACGTTTATTTATTTTTGAGACAGAGACAGAGCATGAACGGGGGAGGGTCAGAGAGAGAGGGAGACACAGAATCGGAAACAGGCTCCAGGCTCTGAGCTGTCAGCGCAGAGCTGGACGCGGGGCTTGAACTCATGGGCCACGAGATCATGACCTGAGCCGAAGTCGGCCACTTAACCGACTGAGCCACCCAGGCGCCCCTGTTTATTTATTTTTGAGAGTGAGAGAGACAGAGCACGAGTGGGAGAGAGGCAGAGAGAATGGGAGACAGAATCTGAAGTGTCCTTTAGGCTCTGAGCTGTCAGCACAGAGCCCAATGTGGAGCTCGAACCCATGGACCGTGAGATCACGACCTGAACCAAAGTTGGCCACTTAACCGACCGAGCCACCCAGGTGCCCCCGGTGAGTTTCTGATCTTACAAATGGCTCAGGGACCCTCCAAGATGCAACACCCCCAGGATGCCTCCCAGTGTGAAGGCATCCATCTACCCAACCATTTCTTTACCGCAAATTTTGCATTTCAAGAAAATGTCCACACTCACCGGTCGCTAGTGAAAACGTACCCCACCAGATCCTTAAAAATTAACAACAGGACGCAGAAGGTTATAGCAAAGACTCCTGGAGGTAAAAACAGCAGAGAAACAACCAGTGAGAAATGAGATCTGCAGGGCACCAGGAGGCTGGGCTTCCCGGGCACAGACCACTTGGGTGAGTCAATGACTGAAGAGCCTAAGCACCTGTGACCAGCAAGGCGACAGTTGAGGACTTCTTGGCCTGCTCGATGTCTCCAGCGCCCAGCGCATTCCCTACCCGGATACTGGTGGCCACACTGAAGCCTGAAGGTATCTAAAATGAAAAGCAGACATACCGTAACGAAAAGGGAAGAGTGAGCAGGGAGCAGAGAAGTCCCTGCCTCTTGGCTCGGTTCTCAGCCCAACCGTGCACCTTCCCCAGGGAACAGGGACCCGGGAGATCATGGCATACACCTCAGTGGTAAAACCTGGTCCTAAAAGTTCTGAGAAAACAAATTTGCAACCTCCCATTTGCCTAGCCGAGTGCCCCCAGGCTGATGGGAATCTCCATCGCATACTGGGCTTTTGGGCAAGGCTTCTAAGGTGTGCAGGGGAGGATCCCGCACAATCGTGTTTCCTCCTCTGCGTGCAGAGGACGGACTGCCAGGAGCCCAGGGCAAGTCTGTTCTGAAAGACCATCAAGGGATCAAGTTTAGAAAACAGAATCCCAAAACGGCGACCTTTCCCCTTCCCCGGAGCGTCGGGTAAAAAGGAACTTTAAGGAAACGCAAAGATGCACACCCAAGCTCATCCCAGGCAATGCGGCTCCTCACGCCATGAACCTAGCGCCATCACCCTTTGCGCCCCCGACCTGTCCCCAGGCATCTATCTGTGTTGTGACAACCGGAAAAGATTCTTCATGTCTGGCAAGTGTGCAAATCAAATCAAGTCTTTCAGATCCGGGGGGCGCCTGGCTGGTGTCTGACTCTTGATTTCGGCTCGGGTCACGTTCTCATGGTTCATGGGACCGAGCCCCACGTCAGGCTTGGCGCTGACAGCAAGAATTCCGCTTGGGGTTCTCTCTCTCCCTCTTTTTCTCTGTCCCTCCCCTATTTGTATGCCCTCTCTCTCTACACAAATAAAGAAGCTTAAACAAAAATCTTTCAGATCCGAACAGTGCTAGGACATGCAAACTCCCCAGAGCTCACCGGAAAGACCCCACCATTCCAGATGGGCCCTACCTGGCTCTATGATGAAATTTTACTTTCGTGTATCGTTTCACAGGTTACTAATGGGATGAATGCCTACGCTTGTTCTTTGGATTCTTTTCATTTAAAAAAAAATTTTTTTTTAACGTTTATTTATTTTTGAGACAGAGAGAGAGACAGAGCATGAACGGGGGAGGGGCAGAGAGAGAGGGAGACACAGACTCGGAAGCAGGCTCCAGGCTCCGAGCCATCAGCCCAGAGCCCAACGCGGGGCTCGAACTCACAGACCGTGACCTGAGCTGAAGTCGGCTGCTTAACCAACTGAGCCACCCAGGCGCCCCTTTGGGCTCTTTTCAAGAGAACCATCTAGCACCCCCACACGACCGGCTCCCGGACACTCACCATGTACAAAATGACGGTCACTTCATACACCACGGACTGGGCTCCCAGCTCCACCATGCCGAGGATACCTGGTGGAGAGAGGCAGCTGACACCGTGCTTCCGGATGGGGCCCGTGCCCACGCCAGCCATCGCCACCTGTCCCCGCACTGACCGCTCAGTAGGCTCCCGATCTCGTAGGCCCACCACTCAATGCACAGCATGAGCATGCCGGGGAAGGCCAGGTCAAAGAAGCCGGCCCAGTCATGCAGACACTCAAGGGACCACCCTGCAGCAGGGACAGAGACACATCACCAACACACGGGCCACTGGGCTGGAGCTCAACCCGAGACAAGACCCACGTCCGAGCTGGAAAACGAACAGCAGACTTTACCTCCCCAGATATCTTGGTGCAGTTTCCTCCAGAGGATGTACAGGAAGAGGAGCAGCACGAGGGTGAACTGGGAAATGGTATTTGCCAGTGCCGACCCCCTGGAAGGAACGGTCCCAGTGAGGGCAGGTGCCTGTCCATCGTGCGGGGACTCCCGTGGCAGCCCGAAACACATCTTCTTTCCGGAGCAGCCTCGCGGTCCGTCCCTGACCGTGCTTTCCAGAGCGGCCCAGGGAGGGGACCCCCACCGGGACACATGACCAAGTAGAGGTCCCCCCCTGCCATCCTGCCCTGGAAAAGCCTCAGGCAGGTCCCCCCCTGCCTCCCATCCCCAGAATCAGCTGGACTCACATCACCCCGAGATCCAGTTGATAGAGAAACAGATAGTTGATGAGGGCGTTGACAAGATTGGCGACAACTCCGGTGAGGATCTGGGGCAGTATGATTCCCTGAAACGAGGAGAGACCGCACCGCATGCTGGAGACCAGGGAGCAGGGTGGTCACTTCCTCCCCAAATGCACACGCGCCACAGGCATAGCACGAGGACCCAACCGGATGCGCGGTGTCAGCTCCTGGCCTCCTGCCTCCCTCCTCCCCTCCTCCCCCGCCTGGAGGCGTGAAACACAGGGACGTGGGCAGGAGAGGGCCCGGCAACAGACAGGCAGGACCGCCAAGTGGTTCGCCTACCAGAGCACAAGGACTGGCCGAGACGGAGTATAAACAAATCACCTTCCACACTGGACAGGGGGTGACCAACTCAGCACTTTTTCAACCAAATGGAAGTTCGGAACACTGATCTAAGATGACCTCACAAAGCTGGGGCGTGGGAAGGACTCCATCCCACCCGGCTCTGCTTACAAGTACAGGGCAGAGAAGTCCGGGCTGTTTGGCATCTTAATCTAAGACTTCAGGAGGGAGAGGAAAACGACACGGGCTGGAGACGTACAAGGCATCAGGGGATCAGAATCGCAGACGCGATGAGGCCGGCTGCTTCTCCCACCTGCAAGGTGTCACCCCGGCCCCTCGTCTGAACGCCTACTGCTTCCTCACCCTCGGACAAACCTGCTTCTCTGAAATCACGGACCCTGTGACATCTCGCCGTGTGAAGTCGTTACCGGTGAAAATAAAAGATCCCTCTCCTGCCTGGGGGATTGAAGTCACTCTCACACCCCAAAGCAGCAGCCTCGATTTTCCAGCTCAGGGGCAGAGCTTCTCACAGATTTCTGGACACAGCAATCCGCATCTATCTGAGCTCTCTCCGGTCCCCAAGGAGAGAGGACGTGGGTCCACTTTGCAGGGCGGACCTGGCATTGACCCCTCTTCTGCTTTGCTCTGAGCCTACCAAAACGTGGCTTCCCCTGCACTGCACCTAAACTCCATCCATCAGAATCATATGATAACTCTCCCCCGCCCTTGCTGGGGGAGAACCACACTCCTCTGATCCAGCCACGCTATGGTCCACATCATGCTGCGTATTTGTCTCAAGTGGTCTCCTGGTCAGGGACCAGGACAAGGATCGTGGCCAACCACTTATGTGGGTCACTTATTTATCAGGCAACCCTGCTTGTTAGTTTTTAGCAAAGGAGGCAGGGGAGCACACAAGTCTTTCGGGTAGAGAGAGTAGAAGTAGCATGGGGTGAGGTTGGCCTTGGGAAGGACTGGCAGCAGGGAAATTTGCTAAGATGCTACGGAAGTATCCGCCGAAGGATAAGGGAAGAAGAAGAGAGGAACTGAGGCTGGAGGTTGGAGAGAGGCAGGACCACAGGACCATCAGTGACCGGACGTAAGAGTGAAGGAAAAGATGGAGAGCCAGATGAGGGCAGGTTCCCCAGAGATAAGGTGTTCGAGGCCCCTAACTGGGAAGGAAGGCAGTCAAGTGGAGAGGCAGGCCTGGGGGATGAGAAGGTCAAGTGCGCAACATGCATGTGCCTCCTAGAGGCAGCATTCCAGACTGGCGACTAGAGCTATAAATGGGGGAGCTCTGGGCACACAGATGGAAAGAAAGAACACGCAAGAGACAGCTTCCCTCAGAGGAAGGTCAGCAGAAGCCAGTGGGGTCGCCTTGTCTACCTCTCTCCCACCTAGAAGTCTAAGCAACCCCCCGGTTTTCTCTGGGGCTCCTTCCACCTCCCCAACTGTATTAACTTTACCCCCAGACCAGCTGCACACTCACATATCGTACGGTCACAGAAGGGCTGGGCCCCAAGACGGAAACTGGGTTAAATGCAACTCCCTCCCTCTCCAGAGATCCCTGCAGACAAGGAGTCATTTCGTTCTACAGGATCCGCCCCAGTGTTTCGATTCCCATTGCTTCTGTAGGGCATCCTTTCTCATCACAGACCTGCAGCATCTTTTGTTGGGACCACGTCCATAACTCTCCTCTCTCCCCCTAGCAATCGGTTCCCCACCAGCTGAAATCCCCAGCAGAGAACCAAGGCTGAGCCTGGGCCAGCCCACCTCTCTGATTCTGTCATCCACTGTGCCCCTCCACCCAGGCCGTGGCCTCTGTGCTCCCACGTCCCGGTGACCAGAACACCCCTTGGGAACCCCGCGTAGTCTCCAAACCCAGTTCAAGCCTCTCGGCCCCTCTCAGCTTCAGGCTCCTCTTTGTAGGTCTCTGCGGGTCCCTCAGAGTATCTGAGAGAGGGGTTTTCACTCCCAGTGTCCTCACTGGGCCAAGCTGGAGCCTGTGGCTAGGAGCCCCCATGCTGGCTGGGAGCCTGGCAGTCCGGGAGAAAGCCCCGAGCATCTAACGCCTCCGCGTGGCTTCAGACGAGGCCACGGGCTGGCAGTGGACAGACAGGCCAGCGCTCAGTCGTGCAGACTTCCGCCCCTTTCCAGACCCTTCAAGTGTATCATCCTTACACTGACGGGAGACTCGGAAGCTGTTTTTGTCCACAGGGTAATACCTTAAATTTAAGAACACTAAATAAACGGAAAACCTCCTCCCTTCTCTCTCCCCTCCCTTGTGCCCTCAGTCGCACGTGCCCTGGAGAGCCTGCCTGCGTGGCCACGACCCATTGCCCAGGACCCTCATTTCCCTGGATTCCTCTGGAAGGAAGTCAAGGGTCCCACATACGCTGGCATCGTAAATCCACGCCTACCGAACCAGGGCAGCCGTCACACAGCTTTGGCCCCTGCTGCTGGTCACAGTTCTGACATATTACGACGTGGGCCTTCACGCCCCACTGAGGAGAGCCGGGCCTTTCAGACAGGCTGAGAGGAGCGGAGAGGTTGGCTCCCTGGAGCCTGCCCGGCGCCCTCTGGGGGACACAGGCACACACCCTTCACTTCCAGAGAGCCAGGTAACAGCATGGAGCCAAAGAACACTAGTGCTACCCCTGATCCTGCCAATGACAATATTTCCAAGGGGGAATCAGATAAGAATGTTCCAGAGCCAACAAGAACATACCCTTCCCTTGATTTCACTTCGTAAACTTCTCCACACCAAAGTCCTGAGCGCACCACACAGGGAAACGTATTTCGGTGGCCCCCAGCAGGTGAGGTTCCCCACCCCGTTATCCATGAGTGTTTTCAGGGCCCCGATCCCCGAAAGCCATAAACTCCCATGAACCGCCCCCCCCCCAAAAGAAAAAAGGAGAGTCTACATTACCTGATTGAGCAAAAATTTAACTTGTAACGTGTAAATAAAGATTGCCTACAAGAGAAGAAGAAACGAATGTTAACATCTTGGCCTTGCCATGTAGCAAGGAGCTGGGAGCCGTGGCTTGGCTGCCCTCTGCTCCCCCGTGGACCCGCAGAGGCATGCCGTCTCAGAAGGGGACAGGGACAGGGGGCGGGAGCCGAGGTGTCTAAGGCCAGGGCGTTCCAAACATCTCTTATGGATGAACAGCATCCAAGGGACCCCAGGGCCTGGGAGAGCAGTTTCCTTGGGAGTATGACAAGGAGCCTTCTGGGGGACAGTGGGGCTGTAAAGGAGGCCCCTGGGCAAACTCGGGGGGGGCACCCCTTTTATAGACCAAGTAACAGTCCTATTTGGTGGCGTAACTAAAGAATACGGAACTTTATCTTTTTTTAATGTTTTCAGAAATTTATTTTGAGAGAGCGTGCACACGTGCACATGGGGGAGGGGCAGAGAAAGAACGGGAAAGAGAGACCCCCCCCCCCCCCCCCCCCAGCAGGCCCTGCACTGTCAGCACAAAACCTGACTCGGGGCTCAATCCCACAAACCATGAGCTCGTGAGCCGAGCAGAAACCAAGGGTTGGGTGCTTAACCAACCGAGCCACCCAGACACCCCGAGAACATTAAACTTGAAAGGCTTCGGGGTAAATTAAAAGCCACAATGCCAACTGTGACGGCAGACGGCTACTTTTAAGGGCTGAATTACAGCCATCCAAATTCGTATGTTGAAGACGTAACCCCCAACGTGGCTGTATTTGGGGAGTCTTTAAAGAGGTGATTACGTGAACGTGAGGCCATTAGCGTAAGCTCTAACCCAACAGGACTGAGGTCCTTATAAGAAGACAAGAGACACCGCGGCTGCACCGCGTCTATAAGAAGACACCGGGATGGCCGCGAGAAGAGGCAGCCAAGCAGGAGGTGGTCTGCAAGCCAAGGAGAGGCCTCCAAGGGTATCAACCCCGCGACCACCTTGATCTCGGACTTTGCAGCTTCCAGTAGTGTGAGAAAACGTTTAAGCCATCCAGTCTGCGGCGTGTTGTCAGGGCAGTGCAAGCAAACCCACGCAGTCCCACCGTCCCAACGGAGTAAAACAGTTTTAATTGTTCACTGACCGCGAGCTTCTGTGTCAGACGTGAACATACACTTAGGGTTGTGTGTGATCACACTCAGCAAGGAAGAAAAAAAAATCTAAAGGTTCAGAGTGAGGCCCTAAGGAGTTCTGACATGGGAGAGAATTTACCCTTATCTAAAAGAAGAAAAAAGAAAAAAAAAAAAA